CACTTTTTTACACTTTTTACACTTAAAATAAGATAGATATATATTTTGCGCTAAAAAGAAAGAAAGCGAAGATGCTGACTGTAAAAAGTGTAAGCAAGACGACAGACTTTATGTTACTTTCAATTTGTGTTGCCTGAGCTGAGAACTTATTTAGTCAAATTTTAAATCCTAAAAGCTCAGTAATATGAACTCCCTGAGAGTTCATTTTGTCGAATTTTATAAGCTCGCCGAGAGCTCAGCAAAATGAACTTCCGCTGGAAACTTAAGCGAAGCTTTGAGCTGTGTGGGAAGTTATGAGACACAATTAATAATTTTATTATTTAAATTACTTGAAAATTATTTGGAAATATTTAAAGTAGAAAAAACATACATTTTTCGAGTCACAATCAGTAACTATTTTATTATAGACTGATTATTATACTTTTATTTGAATTAACGTGATTTAAGATAAAGATTAAAACTTTGTTATCTCATAGCATGATATATTGCCTGACACACGAGTATAAACATATACTGAGATATATATATATATATAATATATACATACACGCTTTTGAAATAACGTATTTTTTAGGGAAGCTTTCCTTGTAAAGAAGATGGACCTTTGATTCTTGGGCATGAGTTTGTAGGTACTATCGATGAAGTCGGATCGGAAGTGACCGTCTTTAAAATCGGTCAACGTGTAGCTATCGATCCTAATAATGGGTGCAACAAATGCGATCATTGTCACAACGCGAATTATCATTATTGTGCATATGGTGGTATAAATAATACCATAGGTATTTTCAAAGATGGTGGATGGGCTACACACGCGCTTGTTCCAGAAACACAGGTACACAGAATACTTCAAAAAACTCGGATGTAACAGATTCTTTTACCAATTACTTCGACCAATTTAGTATTGATTTTTTTCTTAGTAAAAATATCTGAGCATTAATACAGAATGTACATTAAAAGTTGCTGAAACTAATCAGCTATCGTTATTAAATGCAATATTTTTTAACATTGCGTCTGGCATGAATATTAAAAAATATTGCATTTAATATTTTAAGAAAATGGCAATTTATTTATATATCATCTAAAGACGATCGGAAATATTTATATCATTTAATAAATCTTATGTAATTTAAAAGACTTAATGAATAAATCATTCATTTAATAAAAGGAGTATGAAAACTTCATCTATCTTATATAATTAATAATTCCTATAAGAATTGGTGACTTTCAATTCAGCAGAGTACGATAAAATAAGTAACGAAAGCATGAGCGTATAAATTTAATATGACATGTTATAAAAGTTATAGTTTGAAAATTTAACTTCCACACAATAAAGATACTGAGGATGATCTAAATAAAGGGTTGAAAGGATTATATATGTTTGTTATATTATACTAAACGACAATTTTATATAAAATGTTATTTATATCATTTGTTACATTAAGAATGAATAGAAGCTTTCATACTCCTTTTATTGAGTTATTTATTTAATTTATGTAAATATTTATAAAAATGCTAAATATGCCAATCTTAATGTGATATATATTTTCAAAATACTAAATTCTTAATGATATATATATATATATATATATATATATATATATATATCGGAAATTTGAAAAACTTTATTTAATTTTTCTTTTTTTAAATGTCCTCTATTAAAAAAATATTTTAATTTTTCTGTTCCCTATATGTGTTTAAAAAAGATTGAATAAAAAAGATAGAAAGAGAGCTGATTAAAATTTTCGCAATTAAATTCGTATATAAATAAATAATATAAATAAATAACAAAAGTCTAAAATTTAAAAACTGATTAAATAACACATAACTATAATTATTTTTAGATAAAATTTATTTTAATAGCATTTAATTTAAAGGTATAAAAATGTGTGGAAAAAGATGAGAAGATGTGATATAGACAGAGATGATCTCGATATTTTTATTGAGAAAAAGTCGGCTCTATATAAATTGATCAAAACGATATCTATATTCACCGTTAATAAAATATATAATATTTTGTGCATGTAACCCTTCATTTTTACTATTTTTCGTTCTATTTTAATCATCTGTTTCATTCTTGCGTTATGATATTCATATCATTTGTTTGATATTATCGGTGTTTACGATAGATATACTTAATCCCGGATGAAATTGAAATGCATCAAGCAGTGCTGACTGAGCCGTTGTCATGCATGGCTCACGGCTGGGATAGAATAAATCCTGTAAATGTAGGAAACAAGGTTTTGATTATGGGCGCGGGTATCATAGGTTTACTATGGGCTTGTCTACTTCATTTGCATGGCCTCAGAAAGACTGTCACTATTAGTGAACCGCAACAAAAACGGAGAGAACTTGCCTCTAATCTTGGTAATATGAATAATGAAAAATTTGAATGAATATTGAAAATTTAAAAAAACTCCCCACTCCCTCTCTCTCTCTTTTTCTAATGGCGATATATTTTTGTATATAGATCTCGATTATAAAGTTAAAAATCCGACGGAATTAAAAGAGGAGTTTGATTTAGCTGTGGATTGCTGTGGTAATGCTCCAGCCATGGAAAAGGCTATGTCTTTTCTGGGGCACGGTGGTCGTTTATGCGTATTCGGTGTCGCTAATCCGAAAGCAAAACTATCGATTGAACCATTTCAGGTAAACTTAACTCTTCTGAGAGTTATAAAATTTTAATAGTTTCTTACTAAAAGTTATAATTATTATGCAGGTTTACAAAAAGGAGTTGAGCATCATAGGCGTAATTGTAAATCCCTACAGTTTTTGTAAAGGATTAGCTTTGGTGCAAGCAATGTCCGAACAATATCTTAACTATAATAAATTAGGAATCAAGATATTTTCTTTGTATCAATATAAAGAAGCTCTCGACGCATTGAAGAAAGGGGACATAAGCAAAGCTGTTTTCAAGTTATAAAACAAAGTTCTGTTGTGCTAACAAGTTTTTGTATGTATAATAAAAACAGACGAAGAATATCTTCTTTTTATAAAATTTTATTACTTACTTTATA